TCCAAATAACTTCCTTTCACTAGAACTCTTCTCTTTCTCTCTCTAAATGAAATTTTGCAAGAGGTTCCCACTCATTTGGTCTTGCACGAAATGTACATGTGGAAGGGGGTATTTATAGGCTTTAAATTTCACTAATTCCACATATGCCCTTCTTGCATAAGACTTAATCTTAGCCTTCCAATTTTTACCTCTTTCCACATGTACAAATCATAGGCTATGTGGCTTAATATGTTGACACTTGGATGGTGAGTTACTAGGGCTTATGTCATCTCTTCTTATCCATTAAGATTAATTAGGATTTAGTTAAGGTTAACTCTCTTAATTCCTTGACTAACTTGGCTAATTACCCTTCTAGAAAGTTTTGACTTTTCAAAGATAGATGGTTAAATCCTAGCCATCTAATGAACTATGTTTGCCATGTGTCAAGATCTTATGGAAGATGGCTTAACCTTAATCATCTTACTTATCGCTAATTAGATTTTAATCTAACCTGATTTATTATTTTCTTTTCCTTTTTCCTTTTATTTTCTTTTTCCCTTTCTTGGCCAATTTGGGTGTGACATGTGTCCTTGGTAATCTGTAAGAAATTTTATCACCCTGTTGTCCTGACAGTCCACTGAGTCTAAATATAGTACTGGTTTATTTTATCTGATAGTCAAAAAATTCTAGTATCTCAAAATTCTTATATCAGCTCACCATTAATTATATCTTAGTAAAGGAAACTTTTCTGATCAATTTCATAATTTTTCTCCCTCTATAACTCCTTAAATTGCCGTTTCTGTTAAAACAGACAATCTATCGATATTAATTTAGCTCTAAATTCAATTAAAGCCAAACTCCTCATCATTTAGGGTTGGAAATAATTTTATAAATCTTCATAATTCCCAAAATGAATTTCCATTAATTTTTTCATAATTTTTTGAGATCTCTAGATATTTTTAATAATTTATATTGGCTAATTTTCCTTAATTTAGCTAGAATATTAATAATTAAAATAATTTTTTAATAAATTATTTTCAACCTATATTTACTTTCTATACCTCAAATAGTGTTCTATGGCATTAATTCTATTTTTCATGATTTACTGGAAATTTTTAGGATTTCCAGACACTAATTACGATAATACCCTTTATAGACCAATTATTTTAAAAATGACAATTTCATCCTTTTCTAGTTCTCACTTCTATTGTTGTGTTGTTTATCTATCTTTTGCCTCACCTGGCCTTGGTCAACCCTAATTCTTTTATTAATCATGCTAAAGATATCAGGGTGTGACATATTTTCTTATTTTTATGTTAGAAATTTTGGGATGTTATAGTGACCTTCCTAGAAAGTGAGGAAAATATTAAAAATTATAGTCATCACTCGTGCCTCTGTAAATTATAACTAATCGAGTCTTGTCGATGGCTTTCCGATTATCAATTCTTATGTAAAAAATATATTAACAATATTTATTTTCATTAGTTTACTGGAGTTTAAGTCCTATATCCTTTAGCCCTCAATCTGATCATCCAACTCTTTGGAGAAGACTTCAATCCTATATCAAAATATAATTATAACATAACTAGTTTTTGAAAGAAAATTTGATGCCTACCAACTGCTGGTAAAACTTAAAGCAGGCTTATGGATTAAGTTGAATAGATGAGATGTAGAAAAGGGGAAAGGAAAAGAAAGGAAAGAGAGAAGCGATAGATAGAAGCAAAGGATGAAGAAAATAGACCAACAGAAAAAGAAGAAAAGAAACTCAAGGGAGAGAATACTTATTCCCATTCAAGTATGATCAAGCCGTAGAAATAAAATGTGTTAAGGCATATTTGTAGGCCTTAACCCTAATTCTAGCAATTTAGAGCATTGCAAATATTGTAAAAATTTTAAGAATTTAAAAATAATATTAATAACAATCAAAAGCATTCAAATTAAGCAAATATTTTAGAAATTTTGGGAATTTAAAAATAATATTCTAGCTTGAATAATATAAAAGATTGCATTTATTCAAACAAAATCTTAATTTAAAACTGAGAGACCACTTTAATAAGACAAAAATCCTAAATCTAATTAATCTCGTGTCCCATCAAAAGAAAACTTAATTAAAAGGATAGACCAGAACCATCCAACTTCTCTTCAATTAGTTTAGACAATTTCTCCATCATCCAAGGTGAAAAATGATTAACCCAATCGCCAACTACACCTTTCCTAAAAAGCTCCTTGTTTTCGAACTTCTGCACGAATTTTCCAGTCTTGTTCATCTCCAATTCTTTCATCTTCTCAAAGCTGCACAGCTCAATTATGTTTTTAATAACTCCATTACTTTCCTCCTCTGAAGTGAGAGGGCATTCCAGGAACTCAGCTGTTCTCTTCAAGTGGAATTCAATATCTCCTCTCAAATCTTCACACTTTAAAAATAGAACCTTGGTTGGTGTCCTTTTACTTTCTCTCCAATAACCCAACATGTGTGTCCAAAATGGGCCAGCCTCATGGATTCCCATGCAATATCTCTCAAATGCTTCCTCACATGATAATTTAGGTAAAGATGGTGGTGCGATTCTGCTCATGAAAAACCACAAAGACACAAACTGGTCAAATGGGTTTCGACATATATAAACTATCTTGCATTTGGATTTGGTCATTGAGTCCGGCAATGAATGAAAGGGAACATGTGCACCGAAAAGTCTTGGTGCAGGCTGGTTGGATAGATCAGGAATTTGGTTATTTACAGAGTAAGTTAACTCTAAGAAAGGAATAAGATCATGTGCATTGGAAATTAGCAAAGGATGGTTACTTTGTGATGGAGAGAAATGCTTACGATTTATAATGGCAAAGTAAGTGCTTTCAACCAAGTAGTACCAGATTTTGGTAAGCTAGCGACAACGATATCGTTGTCTTTTGCTTGGAAGACCTTTTGAAACGAGCGTGCGCCTTGGAGTGGTACTGCTGGATACCAAGTTTCTTGATAGAGATAAATGTATGGGGAAGACCAACCCTTCTCTCTTGGAAGAGATTTAACCATATCCTTACATTCCTGGCTGTAATGTTCATTCTCTTCATCGTAAATCCCGATCTCAGGCTCAACATTTGGTTGACATTTTGTGACGGAAGTGACAATAGTTTCAGCCATTAGAAGAACAGTAATAGTATAGCTAGGTAATTAACTAGTGAACAAGTTTCCGTTATTTATAGCATGAGCTGGCCACCGGTTATTGTCATTATTATATTGAAAAGGAGCAGATGGATTCGCGGATCCATAGTCCAGCTGTGCATGTGAAGAAGATAAGTGAGTTGGTCAAACAAGTATTTTTCAATTCCCTATAAATCTAATACTAATTAAATAATCCTATAGCATAATCACTATTGTATTGTGCCAACAAATTTTGGAACACAAAAAAAGTTTATTATAACTAAATCATTCGAATTGATATAGAAAGGTTAGTGGGGGGAACAGAGTGACGATAACTTTGATTCCTATGGCTAAGGACCACTACAACTTGTATACGCTGTCATGGCGTTAATGGATTCATTACTCTCGAAGCAAATATATATAATTTTGTGAATGGAAACTGCCAAGTTATATCTTATTTGTCCTATTTTGGACAGCAATAATGTTTGGCTAAGAGGAAGTTAAGTTTTGGTTAAATTTATAATGTGCTCAGTGGAGTGAAGGTCTTAAATCATGGAATCGTACATCATTCATGCCTAAAGGTTTCTACATGCTGTTAGAACAATATATAGAAGTTTAAATACACAATTTGGCATTTCCCTGTTTTTGTACAGTCCCTAGTTAGGTGAGAAGTAGCTGGAATTTTATAGTTCAAAGTTTAGAAATGAATTACTAAGTAACGGAATAAACGAGTTATTAAAAGTTAAAGTGACAACAAGGACAGCAAAATGTAAGATTTGACATGCTTTCATCATTCGATTTGAAATTATGGTGGTATTGCTCTCACCCCTCGGCTTCTTATTCTTTATTTGTCTAATAGTTCTTTTTTTTTTCCTTGTAAAAATGTTCCTCTTTTTTTAAGCACAAATATTCTCTTATTGGAGGCAATCATATTCAAAGCATTGTCAAGTATTAAATGTAGACACCTCTCTTAGCGAAAATGTATCTTTAATACTGTAAAATAAACGTACTTTACATTTTATGCTTATTGGTTAAGTAGAAAAATGTTAGGTAACTCGAAGTGATGATTGAACAAGGATGACTTACTTGACTGTTATAATATGTTGACTATTATATACATATGGACAAATATTTGATGGTAAGACAAAAAAAGTTGTTATATGTTTTTAAAACTTTTTACATATGTAAAACTATTTAATGGCTTTTTTTTTTTTTTTTGTGAAAACAAGCATCGAATAGTTGACACTAATATTTGAAGATTTTGGTAAACAACCATCAACTAAACTTATATTTGTTACTTGTTTTCAATGAACCCTCAAATAGTCTCATTCAAAATATAGTCTAAACCTTCACACCTTTTCATTTTTCTCTACTTGCAATTGCTTCGTCCCCTATGACTCTCTTTTGTATCTTCAAAACATATTTTCCGACTAAACCCATCTCCCATCTCTAGCAAAACACCCACCCAACACCTCCATGAACCTAAATCTCCCTTCCCCCTACAACACCATAGCCTTTTTCACCATTGAAAGAATCTATTTTTGCCTTTTCTAGGTTCTTTGTTGGAGCTAGAGCTGCCTTGGGTTTGAGGTCTTCTTTCCCAGACATGACTGTCGAATCTTTTTCGCCTCTACAAGCCTCTATATATTGTTGCCACCTCTTTTTTATGGATTGAAGCAATGTTGTGGATTAGTGCTCATGTGAAGGAGCGTGTGCTACTCATGCTCATCACTTAAAAAACAAAGAGACGAAGTTCCGTCGCTAAACTAATTCGCAATGAAAATTTCATTATTAATTCCCTGTTTGGCTTCGATCTCTGTTTTAATAACTAACATGATTTATTCATTTAAGATAATTATTAAGTATGGCAAGCATCAAACAGCAATTTGAAATCAATTTTGCAGCTTCAATTTTGAACTCATAAGAACGGAGAAGTAACCCAATGCAAAAACCGAACAAACAGTCAAGAACCAAGCTGATGGCTAGAAGCAAAGTTAGATTCGATACATATGAACAACGGAAGCTAAAGCGGAAGTCAGCAGAAACTATTGCACGCATATATAGTTTAATGGATGAAAACTATTAAAAGCACAAACCAGAATCACCAAACTTTTCTTCTATCACTTCGGACAATTTCTCTTCCATCCAAGGGGAGAAGTGATTCACCCAATCTCCTACTTCGCCTTTCCTAAAGAAGTCCTTGTTTTCAGACATCTGCAGATATTTTCCTGTCTTGTTTACCTCCAAGTCCTTCATCTTCCCAAAGCTACACAGATCAATAATGTTTTGAATAACACCATTAGCTTCCTCCTCTACGTTAAAGGGACAATTTAAGAACCCAGCAACTCTTTTCAGGTGAAGCTTGGTGTCTCCTTTCAAATCCTCATACTTCATAAATAGAACCTTGTTTGGTGTCTCTTTGCTTTGCCTCCAATAATCTAAAATGTTTATCCAAAATGGACCAAATTCCGTGAGCCCCTTGGAATACCTCTCGAAGGCTTCCTCAATCGATAATTTGGGTAACGATGGTAGTGGTAGGACCCTGTTCATAAAAAACCAAAAGGATATGAAGTTGTCAAATGGGTTGCGACAAATATAGATTATCTTACATTTGGACTCGGTAATCGACTCAGGCAATGAATGGAATCGAACATGAGTACCAAAAAGTCTCGGTTCGAGGCAGTTGGAGAAGTCAGGAATGTGGCTATTTTCATAAAGGTCGAACTCAAAGAAAGGAACAAGGTCATGAGCATTGGAAAGAAGCAAAGGATGGTTATTTTGTGAGGGAGAGAAACGACTGCGATTCACAATGGCAAAAGTAAGGGCTTTCAACCAAGTAGTGCCAGACTTTGGTGCAGAAGCTATAATGATATCGTTGTCTTTTGCTTGGAAGTGCTTTTGGAAAGAGTATACGGCTTTGACTCGAGCTGGACCATACCAAATGCCTTTGTAGAGATAAATGTCTGGGTTAGTCCAGCCTTTCTTTCTAGGGAGAGAGAGGAGCAGTTCCGTACAGTTTTGGCTAAGTTTCTCACATGCTTCATCATGAGGAACCTTGTTTTCAAGCTCGACAATCAAATGACTTTTTGAGATGGATGCAGTAGTAGATTTGGCCATTGAAATTGATATGGTATTGTTAATTATGTTTCCATTATTTATAGGAACTCCGGCTGTAATAGAAAGATTAACTGTGACATCATTTTAATTTTTATAATAAAACCGATATAGCCTTACAAACTGCTTTCATTATTCTAGATCTTAATGGTACCTACCATTCCCGTCGTCATCCATTGACTAGTTGTAAGGAGAGGGCTAATGATCAAAAGCATACAAAACAACATTTACATCATGTGAAAGCCAAGCCAAGATTTTTTTTTTTTTTATAACATTTTAAGAGAGTAATGTCAAATTTTTGTCATTTTTTCTACACTGTCCTTTTTTGTCCTTTATCATTGTGCGTGTATCACGTTGAATTATTTGGAATTAACAATTATATTACAATGACAAGGGAAAGATTTGTTGTGTTTTGCGGGTGGATATGATGGGATTAATTTTTTGTTTTGTTATTGGTGTAATTTTATATATGATATTTTTTTAGTACACTTTTACTCCTGGTTTTTTTAGTGCAACTTTACTCCTGATCTTTGTAGTGCAACTTTACTCCTAATCTAAAAAATCAAAGGTAAAATTGCACCATTAAAAAGATTAGAATGTTAGGTGTACCTGAGAAATAAGATTAGGGGCAAATTTGCATCTTAAACCATAAAAAAAGACTCATTATATCTATCACTTTCCTTATGATAACTTCTGCATTAATAGTTTTAAAAAATTGGGATCCATCTATGCATTTTGCTATTGTCGCCATAGAAATTAGTTGGTATAAAAGGAATCGGTATCAACTTGTCTTGTTGGAAAACGTAATATAGGTCCATGTCCGTCTATCGTTATAGGGTTACAATTAAATTAATAAGGTTAAAAATCATTTTTGGCAGAATTTTTTATAAAAGAGCTATGGGTATCAGGAAGAAATTTATTTTAGAGCAATGTCATCTTGAAATAATGTCACTCTAGATGGATGGAACCCTAACATTTATCATTATGTGACAAAGTGTTACCCTAAAATGCAATGCTGGAAAGTAACGTGGCACTTGTTACATCAACTTGTGGCCACCTCATCATCTTCAAATGCCCTGCCCCTCCTCCTCATCGTCGGGTGAGGACAAGCACTAGCACTAAAAGGTCTAACTCTCCTTCACCTCCAGAATTCCGCCCAACTCTTCCTCATCTCCTCTGTCTCCATCACCAGAAACTACCTCAACCTCACCTACACTCTTAACTTCGATGACTTAGGGTTTAAAGCAAACAAAAGCACAGAAGAGAAGGAGAAGAGGATGAAATCGGAGAGGGGAAGAGGGCTAGGAAATCAAGAGGTTCAAATTCCATGGCCAAAAAAGAAATTAAGCACAATACCATCATATATCAAGGAGATGGGGTTTGGAAGAGATGCCTGTTAAGACTAAATGTTTGGTGAAGCACAAAACAAGATGCCAAGGACTAGAGAAATGATAAGGCATTTTCAACCATTCACCTTTAGGTACATCCAATACCCCCTCCTAATCAAAATCTGCATGATCCTACCATCTTATCCATTGATCTCCTGAAATCCAAACTTTAATCTCCACTTATCTTTTCTAAATCAAAGCCTTGGAGATCACTTTCAATGCGAAAATACTCACCAAATCTAATTTGAAACCGAGGATTGTTTGTGGTGGAAGCGGTTGACATAGACATAAGCCACAACACCCATGGATGGGCCAGCACAAGTGTAGTGAAAGATTCTTTCAAGGTATGATTGAATGATCATAATGGGGATATCTCTATAATCAAGAGATGTTGGAGATGAGTTTAGGCCCTGCTCCTCTTAATCAAGGAAGCTAGGATGTTTTTGACTAATGGGTTCACAAAGAACTTAACCTAGATACAAGGATTTACAAAGAAAAAGGAAGAGATGATGATGATGGAGGTTTGAATTGGAATCTGAAGCCATGTAATATAACGGAGGAGGAGGGAATTGATGAAAGGAGTAGTGAGAGAGAAGAAGCTGGCGGTGCTTTTCATTTGCCTGCTCGTCAGAGGGAGAAGGGACAATGATAGAGGTTGTTCAATCTCAGTAGCCAATGCCAAGGATCTTGTTAATTTTTACTAGGGGCATGCTTGGTATTTTTTTTCTTTTATTTTTTTCGATGTGTCATAATACGTGGAATAACATGTGGCATAATATCCTACATGGCAAAACCACCTCAGCATAGGTTTATAAATTGTTAAAGCCCAATGCAAATCATAAGGCCCAATATAATCAATGGACTTCCTATTTCACTGTATTTAGATCCTTTTTCTTGTACCAGAGTTAATTGCCTTTTCACTATATATATACGTCCTCACTGTACATGCAATTCATTAATGCATTAAGAAATAGAATGAAATAGTTCTTCAACTCTACTGTTTTTTGTTTTTTTATTTCTTCTTTACATTTTCTACTCTTTTATGGTATTAGAGCGTTGCTCATAAGCAATGGCTGGCGTGTCATCTCCAAATCCTAGTTCTGTTTCCACACTGCTTGAAAGTCCCTTATCCTCTTTAACCCATGTCATGATTCCATCTTCTCATCTACCCTATTATGTTACCATTAAGCTAACACAGGATAACTACCTTGTTTGGAAAGCCCAGATTATGACTTATCTCTATGGGCAACAATTGTTTGGTTATATTGATGGCTTAGTACCTCAACCTCCTCCCAGGACCACTACTGGACTACCTAATCATGACTACATTTCCTGGTTTCATTAGGATCAACGTGTCCTGTCAATACTTCTTGCCTCTCTGTCTAAGAAAATCATTTCATAATTCATCCGACATAGAACTTCCATATCAATGTGGTTGGCATTAGAAACTTCATTTTCTCAACAAACTAAGATCAAATTGGTTCATCTTCATCAACAGATCACAAATCTAAAAAAAAGTGGTGAATCTATATTTGAATATCATAAAAGAGCCACCATATTAGCTGACTCTCTTGCTACCACTAACAAACCAGTAGCCGAATATGATTTTGTTACATTATCTTCTGGCTAGACTTGGATCTGAGTTTGACACCATTGTAAAAGTACTCTCCACTCAAAGGGCCACTCTCTGTAGAAGGGGTTTTAAGTCATTTGCTCTAGTATGAAGGTCGCATGGCTGAACACAACTCCATTCATTTGGCTGCGAACATTTCGGCTAATACAGTATCTCACTCCACTTTTCAGCCAGCACTAAGAGGAGGACGTGGAGGCAATTCCTTTTTAGGTCATGGTCTCAGACGTGACAGCCATAATAACTACTTTTCTAGCAGAAACTTTAACAACAATTTTGGAAGAGGACGCAACTTTTGTGGTGGTCCCTATAGAGGACGTACGAGAGGATGCTCCTTTAAAGGCAGATGCTGTTACTCTACTTTTCAGCCTAATCAAGATGTACGGTGCCAACTCTGCCAATGTTTTGGCCATACTGCTCTTGTTATGGCCGAACAAATCATGCCTTGCTAGCTCCACTACCTCCATCTCTGTCCTCTCACTACTCTAAGTACTCCAACATGGATAATTCTCTCTGGTACCCAGATACTGGGGCTACTCACCATTTGACTCAACCTCTCAAATCTGAATATGAGCTCAACCTCTTATCTTGGTCTTGAATGTGTTCGTATGAGTGATGGTTCACTAATGCCTATACAGCACCAAGGCTCTGGCAATCTCTCTACCTCTTCTGGCAATTTTCTTCTATAACATTTACCCTTTGTTTATCAATTCTATTTAGACAATAATGTGTTTTTTGAATCTCATTTGGGTTATTTTTGTATGAGGGACGAAAGAACTTGGAGACCTCTTCTTCGAGCTCCAAGCCACAATAAGATGTATCCACTCATCTCTTCCACGGCTCCCCAAACTCATTTTGGCATTCAAACTTCCCTTTCTCAATGGCACTCCCGTCTAGACCATCCTACTTTATGCACAATTCAGAAAGTACTTCAATCCAATTCTCTCCTAGTCTCATCAAAACACTTCGATCAACATTGCTTAGTTTGCCATTCCTCTAAGAGTCATTGCTTGCCATCACCTATTCTCCTCACAGATTCACTTTACCTTTTCAATTAATTTTTTGTGATGTCTGGGGACCCTCTCCTATTTTGTCAGTTGATGGTTTTAAATATTATGTGTCCTTTGTAGACGATTATTCCAGATATATATGGCTTTTTCCATTAAAAATGAAAGATGAAGTTCATACTGTGTTTCATCAATTTAAGTCTCTTGTTGAAAACTTTTTTAATTCAAAAATTTGGTCATTTTAATCTTATTGGAGAGGTGAATTTTGGTCTCTCAGTAGAGATCTCACAACTCTTGGAATCAATCACCGAATTACTTATCCTTATACCCACACACAGAATGGCAATGTCAAAAGATGACATAGAACAATAGTCAAAACTGGTTTAGCTTTGATGTAACATGCCTATGTTCCTTGAAAGTATAGGACTTATGCATTCAATGCTGCAGTGTTTTTGCTAAATCGACTGCCCACTCTAGTCCTGCATAATAAAAGCCCATTTGAGTTGCTATTTAATTTGAAGCCTAATTACAAGCTTTTAAAAGTTTTTGGATCAAGATGTTGGCCCAATTTGTGCCCCTATATGGCCAACAAATTATGCCCAGGATCTCATCTTTGCGTTTTCTTAAGCTATGCATCACAACACTTGGGTTACCTTTGCCTTCATTTACCCACTGGACATTTATATACATCTAGAGATGTCATATTTGATGAAACTCATTTTCCTTTTTCAACCCAATTTTATGTCTAGTCCACTTCCCCTTCACTCACCACTCTACCTTCCCTTTTTCAGCCTAATCCGCCAAGCCCAACGCCTCCATCCAGTCCAATACCCTCTAACCCTATATCTCCTTTTTCATTACCCTCAAACACATTGCTCGTTAACTCCTCCCAATCATTGTCCCCTGCACCCTCTACAGTCCAGTCATCCTCTTCCTCATCTCCAACCATATCATCTCTGTCCCTCTCTCCTCTGCCAT